TTGAAAATACTCGTAGAGTTTTTTTTATGGCTACTTTAAATATGTATTTGTTGATGTCAACGGTTTCTGATGATTCGACATTGACCCGGTAAATTGTAGAATAGTTCTTGTATACCAGAGCCACCAAAATGCAATAGCGTAGCCCGTTTCTTGAGTGCTGATATAACTTCAGCTGCGTCCAGATTGATTAGTAGAGACCTTTTCCATTTTTCACACCTTATAGCCATAGATGTGCTATCACATTAAAGCTGATAACGGTATCATTATTATTATTATTTTAGGGGCAAACTGAAACAGTTTCTTATATTTTTTTCCAATTTAATGCTGGTATTTTAATACCCAAAGTCCAATTTAATGGTAGTAACTTAGTACCCAAAGTCCAATTTAATGGTAGTAACTTAGTACCCAAAGTTCAATTTAATGGTAGTAACTTAGAACCCAAAGTCCAATTTAATGGTGGTACCTACCTTAGTACCCAAACTACAATTTAATGGTAGTACCTTATTACCCAAACTCCAATTTAATGGTGGTACCTTAGTACCCAAACTCCAATTTAATGGTGGTACATTAGTACCTTAACTCCAATTTAATAGTGGTATCTTAGTACCCTAACTCCAATTTAATGGTGGTATCTTAGTACCCTAACTCCAATTTAATGATGGTATCTTAGTACCCTACTCAATTTAATGATGGTATCTTTGTACCCAAACTCAATGATACTAATATGTTCCATAACACTCGCCCTTCTCTTTCGGTTTATTTGTTATACCGACTACTTCCATTGCTGTGCCATTTAGGCTTTGGGTAAATTCAATACCTATATTGCGCATTTACAGTATTACTAGTTACCTACTTTGCAATGTACAGAAGTCGTGAAGTGTCCAGGATTTTTGTAAGACTTATATATGCCATGAAAGCAGTAAAATAGTATTTTCATTAAAGGCGATAATTATCACACCTACATGTAAAATGCCACTAAAATTTAGCTAACGACATTGTATTTCGGTTCGAATCGAGAGGAGTGATTAGAAACATCTACTATTTTTCCATCAAAAATCTTTTAAATAAAAGTTGTGCTAATAGACATATGTTAAAATAAATCATTATTTTATCATTGCTATAAAAAAAATTATTTTGAAATGGAATTTCATCAAATTCCATTTCTGTTTCATTAGATGGATTCAATGAATCCTTCGGTTGAATCATCTAGTTCAGAAAATGTAGAGTTTCCAGTGCTTATTTCTTCTTCTTAACGATAATATTCCCTTTCATCATCATCATTATCATTCAATGGATTATCATCTTCTAAAACTATTTGCGTTGTTAATGCGTTTTCTCAACTTTGGCCATGGCAACTTTTGCAAAATTGGTTACATTTCAAACCGCTTTTCTTACTACAGCTACATCTAGGATGTCTGTGTCATGTGCAGTTAGTTTTGCAACCACAAAACACCTAAAAATTAATTCATATTAGAACATGTAATTATTAACGGAATAATTAAGAAAAGTAATAAATATGAACCTAACCTAACAAGTGTACATACTTTTTCAATATGTTACTATGGTGCTGGATCTAAAGGTGGCATAATAGGCAGCATCATAAATAATGTCTTTATCCATCCCCATTCTTCAGGGTTCAAAGTATTGCCTAACCATATTTGAATCTAATAATATACACGTTTTGTGTGTTCACGCAATGATGATTCTGTTGGTGGTAGAGAAGCTAATACAACTTCTTTTTTATTATTGAACCAGTTGTAATGTATGCCGCAAGCGTTTGGGCACCAGCAGTCCACAAAATAGCAATAAAAAACCAGCTAAACGCAGTGCAGAGGGGATTTGCACAAAAAATTTGTAAATCGTATCGCACGGTCTCACTAAATGCAGCTTTGATACTCTCAGGACTACTTCCCTTAGATCTAAGATTACGCGAAGCTGCATATTTGTATGAAGCAAAACGCGGTAAACCAGATGACAACCTACTTAAAGACAGAGAGATCGAAGAAAAAGTAAGTTTTTTGGAAATGCTGCATCCGGCCTGCGAAGAAAAAATCGACTTTCAAATAATAGAGAATACAAAATCAGAAAAATTAGAGGAACCACATACAAGTAGCGTACAAATATTCACCGATGGAAGTAAAATTGAGGGGCAAGGTTGGAGCTGCAATCTCTATTTGGAGGAATAAACAAGAAATAGATTAAAAAAATTCAAATTAGATTCATTCTGCACTGTCTTTCAGGCTGAACTTTACGCAATGCATCAAGCAATTCAAAAAGCAAAGAATTACCAAAGTACTTACATATACAGTGATTCAAGATCTGCACTGGAACTTGTCAAAAATCAATCAGCATATCAACCGTTGGCTTTCGAAATTAGGCGAGATATCGCTAAATTAAGAAGTCAAAATAGGATGATAGGGCTGTATTGGGTTAAAGCACATGTAGGTATTCCCGGGAATGAACGCGCAGATGAACTCACAAAGGAAGCAGCTTTAAAATTAAAAACAAAATTAAATTACGCAAAATGTCCAATTTCGTTCATAAAGAACCAAATTAGACATAAAACAATTAAGAAATGGGATGAGAGATATTTAACAGAAGAAAAAGCCGAAATTACAAAAGTATTTTTTCCAGACGTAGAAGCAGCATATCGCATCCTAAAACACATTAATTTAACGCCAGTATTAGTACAAGTTTTCACCGGTCATGGAGGCTTTGCAGATTATTTGTTCCGTTTTAAAATTAAATCTAGACCAGACTGTACGTGTCTGGTCAACAACCAACCCCAATCTTCTTTGCATTTAATTATAGACTGCCCTCAATTTTGCAAAAATAGAGCAGACGTGGAACTGCAGATAGGATTAAAATTGACAAAAGAAAGTATACACAACATAATGGAAGACAAACGCGGTAGAAACATTTTCACAAAATATTGTATAACCGTAGCTAATAAAATCATAAAAACTAATAAAAGTGCCTAAACAAGAACACGATAAAATTAATTTAGAATATAGAATAAGATACTTCAAACAAAAAGCACAATAAAACACTTGGTAAAAAAGGGATATAAAAAAAAATAAGACAAGAGAGTAAGAAAACTATATAATTAGACATATGAGTACATATGTCCTAATATTATATAAAATAAGAATGCCATAGAACAAAAAAGAAGAGAATTTAATTAGAAATAGTGTAGAATACTGAAAAAAAAAGAACTAATATAATAAGAATTAACCACATTTGGAAAAAGGAAAAGTGAGAATAAAATAAAATGTACTTAATAAGAAAAAGGAAAAAAAATTTAGATCGTAGAATACACAGAATAAAGGGAAAAAAAGAAAAAAAAAAGGAAATAAAGTAAAAACTATATAAAAATAATGTGAAATTAAAATAAACTTACATATAAAACAGCAATCAGCTACACAAGGTCTCCGATCAACATGCCGGAGGATAACAGAATTAAATAAAATAAAAAACTTCTTTTTTAAATGCAGCTGCTGAAGCTGTAAATAAATTGTATCTTAAATCACCAATCTTTAAATTACCAGCATCACCATGGCCGTACGGCAACTTCATATTATGTATCAACTGAGCTATTTTGTTCGTAAAAAATGAATTGCTGTAGCTCCGGTTTCTTCTTTAATAAAGAGATGATGAGTTTTTCCCTTTTTTTTAAAGATCGCAGCCGGCAAATGCATGTGCAAAAAGCAAAAATGATTTTAAATCTTGGTTACTCTGCGTTGAATACAGAATGCATTGCATTTCTGTCTTTTACGAACAAAATAGCTCAGTTTGATACAAAATATGAAGTTGACGAAAGAATAAAATTACCTGTAGACTATGTAATAACGCGTGATAATTTGCGGGGTGAGGGGGTGTTAAGCCCCGCCTACTTAACTATTTTACATCTACCGATAAATAGTAAAACTAATCCCATTGTTCCATATCAATGTTGCAATGTAGTTTAGCTATCTTGATGACAGATGGCGGCCTATTCACAAAATGATTATAAAAATATTATTTTGGTGATTAAAAATTCTTTAGCACTAAATGCAAAACAATTATCAGCATCTTCGTATAATTATTTTACCAATACTGAGCTCTATGTACCTTTATATTTTTAGTTCCCATAATACAAAATGTCGCTAGTGTCGATTAAATTTACTTATATTTGAAATCCGATGCAAAGAGATTTTTCGAGAACTATTTCAATAAATTAGATATAAAATTACTTACAGGTGAAATGTGATGCCATCCATAACATCAGAATAGTTTTTACGCGATAAAACACAACACTTTATCCTTTTCTTCTTAATACTACGAAAATACACCGATTTGCGTATTTCGACACATAAGTGCACAGGACGAATGGTGACAGTATACTAACTAAAGCCTAACTGTGATGACGTCAGGACCTAGTTGGAATCACAGTGCACAGTTGCTTAGGCCGTCTCCTTTTTGTATTTGCTCTGTGGTCTCACCTCTCAACACAAGCAAGCATAAAACTGTTGCAATCAGGTGGTAGGAACTTTCATACGCCGTTAAATCCACAATAATATTTTAAACTCTTCGGCAAATATATCGAAGCTCCTTAATTCCCAAGGATTTGGAAAATCAAAATTTTCTAATCCCAAATAATTCAGTGACTTGAACATACAATTTTCTTCTGCTTTGCACCTGCATTATTTCGCCAGTTACGACGAAATCGGATTACGAGAAAATCCTAGTGTCCCTTTATATAAAAAAGATATGTATGACAGAAAAGTAAAAATAATAAAAAAAAACAGCAAAAAAGGCATTGAGGAGACACAAACATATCCAAAATAATAAAGCACAGCATTTTTAATATATTTCTTTAAATTTTATTATGATTAATAATTTTTTATCTTTCTTTGGTTTAATGTCCTGGCCAACCTTACTCCATTGAGGAATTTAAGTAAAAAAAAAAGTTAATTTTAATATTTATTGGGTTTTTACACTTATCAATATGCTAAGATTAATCAGTACTGTATACTTCTCTTAGTTTGAATATCATCTAGCAAAATTCTAAGCTCTTCATCTTCAAACCTTCCTTCAAGGGATGGAATTAATGCTTTTGCTTCTTCAGGTGTTTCTGGACATAGGTTTGCTAGACTTGCTACTTCAAATTTATGCAACTTTTTGGACTGGAGCAAACTGAAAGTGGAAAATAACTTTGTTATTTTAGTATCACATTAAAATTTCTCCCTGTGTTAAATAAATATAATATAAATTAAACATTTTAAAAACCTCTGAAAGAAAAAGTGCTAATGATCTTCAAATGGCTGAACAAATTTTCTTTAAACATCTAAAAACACTCTCATTTCAGACACTCTTTTCCTTTTTCTTTTTGTGTTTTGTCTCTATCCCTGATGATTGTCTGTAATTTATTTCACCTATTGATGGAATTTTATCCCTACTTTTTCGTTGAAAAAACAGTGCAGACGGTAACTGTAAGGAGGGGTGCTGTTATACATTAGAAGATACTCCCACAAACATTCTTTTAAATCCTTCCTCTCGATCTGGCTGATACGAAGACGTTTCAAAATATCTCTGTTTTGTCTTTCAACTTCGCCGATCATTTGAGGCCAATATGGTACAGTACTAAATAACTTAATGTTACATTCTTTGCAGAAAGATCCAAACTTCACTAACGAACTGCTTGCCATTGTCTGCGGTGATAGAAATAGGATAACCAAGTCTACTGAACATTTCTTTTACCATTTTAATAATCTGTAAGCTTGTGATGTTTTTGTAATTGTTTACTTCTTTGTATCGACTATAGTAGTCGACCACTACTAACAGATTCTCGCTACTTGGCAATGGTCCCATTAGATCCATTGTGACATCTATCCATGGAGCTGCAGGCAACTCTCGTCTCTTCATTGGTGCAGTTGGGTTTGGCAAACCCACTAACGTACAACCATTACAGACCTTTACTAATTGTTCTACGTTTTTATCGATACGGGGCCACTATACCTTTGATCTCAAGCGTCCCTTCATCGCTACGATACCTGGATGACCCTCGTATGCAGCATCTAATACACTCTTGCAGAGTTGCTGTGGTATTACAATTTTATTTCCACGAAGTAGAATGCTATCATGGAAACACAACTCGTTTTCAAAAAATTTGTAACTCTTAATCGAATCGTCCCAGTCGTTCTGATAGACACCTATTTTCACTTTGTAAATCTCTTGGTCTTTTTCTGAATATGCTACAATGGAACTCATTGGTATAGCAACTGGTCTAGAATTTTCCACTATTTGGTACACATGATGGTCTTTTCCTTTTGGTGGGTTATCAGGATAGTTACATAATCGTGACAAGGGATCAGCTATATTTGTTTTTCCTGGCTTGTATATAACCTTGAATGAATAAGACTGTAGCCTCAGTACCCATCGTTCAATCCTCGCACATGGTTTTGACTTAGACCCGAACAATATCTCTAGCGGCTTGTGGTCAGTGACTAAATCAAAAGGCTTTCCAAATAAAAATATTAAAATGTTCGACCCCCCCCAAACTAATGCTAGTGCCTCTTTTTCCGTTTGGCTACACCTGCGCTCGCAGTCTGTCAAAGTTCGATTACCATAGGCAACAATTCTAGGGCCATTTGTATCATTTTGTACAAGGACAGCACCAAGTCCGACAGGGCTAGCATCTGCTATCACCTGTCTTGCATCTCTGACGTCATAATACCCTAAAATCTGTATTTCCGTGAGCATCCGTTTGAGTTTTTGGAATGCTTTATCTTGTTCCCCAGACCATTGTTTTTCCAAGCTCTCCCTTTTGCTCATCTTCTGTCTTAGCAGGTGCTTCAGAAGTTCTGTCATGGCGGCCAAGTTAGGTATCCATTTGTTTATGTAGTTTAAGAGTCCTAAAAAAATTTGGAGTTCCTCTATGGTCTTTGGGACCCTAAATTTCATAATGCTCTCAACGTACTTGTTGAAGGGTTTACTCCTTCATGTGTAAGCCTGTGTCCCAGAAAATTCACATCCTGCGTTTTATATATGCATTTATTGCTATTCAGCACGGCGTTGTTTTTACTAAGTACCTGTAGAACTTTCTTTAGTCATGCGTCATGTTCTTCTTCACTGTTCCCGAATACCAGGATATCATCAATAAAATTGACGACCCCTTCACAGTTTATCAGCATCCTTTCAATGATCTTCTGGAAAATCTCGGAAGCGCAGGTAATTCCAAGCATTATTCTTTTATATCTATATAATCCTTTGGGGGTTATAAAAGTCGTTATGTGTCTGGATTCAGAGTGAATTTCCACTTGATGGAAGGCATTTTTTTATGTCTAATTTGTTAAAATATTTGGCTTTCTTCATTTTAGACAAAAATGGTCCATAGTAGGCAGGGGGTGGTTTTCTCGCAATATAACGGCATTCGTACATCTCATATCTACGCACAAACGTAATTCACCATTTTCTTTCATGATTGGAACATTGGTGACCCATTTAGACGGGCCTTGCACTTCTTCAATTATATCACTGTTTAGTGATTCCTTAATTTTGATTGCAACCTTCTCTTTAATGGGCATCGGTACTCTCCACTTGATTTATCCCGATACCAAGTTTTAAGACACCCAGACGGACTGCTGTGTTCTTACCAAACAGGTCCCTAGTACCCTCCCGAAATCATGTAAATGGTTGTATGTTCCTTTCGTCCATCGACTTCGAGTATAGTTTCAAATGAACCCTCTATTGTCAAAGGAGAGTTACTACCATATGCTAATAATGTCTTGTCTGGTCTTTACATTTTATTAAAAGCATATACTTTTTTGCTTTTTAACTCTTCCCACGTTTTGTAAGATATAAGGTTCTTGCGCAATTTCGAATTACACTTTTCCGCAATTTCATCTATGAAATGATCATCTTGCTTTTCGAATGGACACTTTTCGGCCTGTTGACGCAATCTTATCAAAAACTTCTCAAATGTTACTCCTTTTTCCTGTTTTAGCAATCGAAAAATATGCCGCTCATAACTTTGCTCCGATTAGGTTGAAAATACTCGTAGAGTTTTTTTTATGGCTACTTTAAATATGTATTTGTTGATGTCAACGGTTTCTGATGATTCGACATTGACCCGGTAAATTGTAGAATAGTTCTTGTATACCAGAGCCACCAAAATGCAATAGCGTAGCCCGTTTCTTGAGTGCTGATATAACTTCAGCTGCGTCCAGATTGATTAGTAGAGACCTTTTCCATTTTTCACACCTTATAGCCATAGATGTGCTATCACATTAAAGCTGATAACGGTATCATTATTATTATTATTTTAGGGGCAAACTGAAACAGTTTCTTATATTTTTTTCCAATTTAATGCTGGTATTTTAATACCCAAAGTCCAATTTAATGGTAGTAACTTAGTACCCAAAGTCCAATTTAATGGTAGTAACTTAGTACCCAAAGTTCAATTTAATGGTAGTAACTTAGAACCCAAAGTCCAATTTAATGGTGGTACCTACCTTAGTACCCAAACTCCAATTTAATGGTAGTACCTTATTACCCAAACTCCAATTTAATGGTGGTACCTTAGTACCCTAACTCCAATTTAATGGTGGTACCTTAGTACCCAAACTCCAATTTAATGGTGGTACATTAGTACCTTAACTCCAATTTAATAGTGGTATCTTAGTACCCTAACTCCAATTTAATGGTGGTATCTTAGTACCCTAACTCCAATTTAATGATGGTATCTTAGTACCCTACTCAATTTAATGATGGTATCTTTGTACCCAAACTCAATGATACTAATATGTTCCATAACACTCGCCCTTCTCTTTCGGTTTATTTGTTATACCGACTACTTCCATTGCTGTGCCATTTAGGCTTTGGGTAAATTCAATACCTATATTGCGCATTTACAGTATTACTAGTTACCTACTTTGCAATGTACAGAAGTCGTGAAGTGTCCAGGATTTTTGTAAGACTTATATATGCCATGAAAGCAGTAAAATAGTATTTTCATTAAAGGCGATAATTATCACACCTACATGTAAAATGCCACTAAAATTTAGCTAACGACATTGTATTTCGGTTCGAATCGAGAGGAGTGATTAGAAACATCTACTATTTTTCCATCAAAAATCTTTTAAATAAAAGTTGTGCTAATAGACATATGTTAAAATAAATCATTATTTTATCATTGCTATAAAAAAAATTATTTTGAAATGGAATTTCATCAAATTCCATTTCTGTTTCATTAGATGGATTCAATGAATCCTTCGGTTGAATCATCTAGTTCAGAAAATGTAGAGTTTCCAGTGCTTATTTCTTCTTCTTAACGATAATATTCCCTTTCATCATCATCATTATCATTCAATGGATTATCATCTTCTAAAACTATTTGCGTTGTTAATGCGTTTTCTCAACTTTGGCCATGGCAACTTTTGCAAAATTGGTTACATTTCAAACCGCTTTTCTTACTACAGCTACATCTAGGATGTCTGTGTCATGTGCAGTTAGTTTTGCAACCACAAAACACCTAAAAATTAATTCATATTAGAACATGTAATTATTAACGGAATAATTAAGAAAAGTAATAAATATGAACCTAACCTAACAAGTGTACATACTTTTTCAATATGTTACTATGGTGCTGGATCTAAAGGTGGCATAATAGGCAGCATCATAAATAATGTCTTTATCCATCCCCATTCTTCAGGGTTCAAAGTATTGCCTAACCATATTTGAATCTAATAATATACACGTTTTGTGTGTTCACGCAATGATGATTCTGTTGGTGGTAGAGAAGCTAATACAACTTCTTTTTTATTATTGAACCAGTTGTAATGTATGCCGCAAGCGTTTGGGCACCAGCAGTCCACAAAATAGCAATAAAAAACCAGCTAAACGCAGTGCAGAGGGGATTTGCACAAAAAATTTGTAAATCGTATCGCACGGTCTCACTAAATGCAGCTTTGATACTCTCAGGACTACTTCCCTTAGATCTAAGATTACGCGAAGCTGCATATTTGTATGAAGCAAAACGCGGTAAACCAGATGACAACCTACTTAAAGACAGAGAGATCGAAGAAAAAGTAAGTTTTTTGGAAATGCTGCATCCGGCCTGCGAAGAAAAAATCGACTTTCAAATAATAGAGAATACAAAATCAGAAAAATTAGAGGAACCACATACAAGTAGCGTACAAATATTCACCGATGGAAGTAAAATTGAGGGGCAAGGTTGGAGCTGCAATCTCTATTTGGAGGAATAAACAAGAAATAGATTAAAAAAATTCAAATTAGATTCATTCTGCACTGTCTTTCAGGCTGAACTTTACGCAATGCATCAAGCAATTCAAAAAGCAAAGAATTACCAAAGTACTTACATATACAGTGATTCAAGATCTGCACTGGAACTTGTCAAAAATCAATCAGCATATCAACCGTTGGCTTTCGAAATTAGGCGAGATATCGCTAAATTAAGAAGTCAAAATAGGATGATAGGGCTGTATTGGGTTAAAGCACATGTAGGTATTCCCGGGAATGAACGCGCAGATGAACTCACAAAGGAAGCAGCTTTAAAATTAAAAACAAAATTAAATTACGCAAAATGTCCAATTTCGTTCATAAAGAACCAAATTAGACATAAAACAATTAAGAAATGGGATGAGAGATATTTAACAGAAGAAAAAGCCGAAATTACAAAAGTATTTTTTCCAGACGTAGAAGCAGCATATCGCATCCTAAAACACATTAATTTAACGCCAGTATTAGTACAAGTTTTCACCGGTCATGGAGGCTTTGCAGATTATTTGTTCCGTTTTAAAATTAAATCTAGACCAGACTGTACGTGTCTGGTCAACAACCAACCCCAATCTTCTTTGCATTTAATTATAGACTGCCCTCAATTTTGCAAAAATAGAGCAGACGTGGAACTGCAGATAGGATTAAAATTGACAAAAGAAAGTATACACAACATAATGGAAGACAAACGCGGTAGAAACATTTTCACAAAATATTGTATAACCGTAGCTAATAAAATCATAAAAACTAATAAAAGTGCCTAAACAAGAACACGATAAAATTAATTTAGAATATAGAATAAGATACTTCAAACAAAAAGCACAATAAAACACTTGGTAAAAAAGGGATATAAAAAAAAATAAGACAAGAGAGTAAGAAAACTATATAATTAGACATATGAGTACATATGTCCTAATATTATATAAAATAAGAATGCCATAGAACAAAAAAGAAGAGAATTTAATTAGAAATAGTGTAGAATACTGAAAAAAAAAGAACTAATATAATAAGAATTAACCACATTTGGAAAAAGGAAAAGTGAGAATAAAATAAAATGTACTTAATAAGAAAAAGGAAAAAAAATTTAGATCGTAGAATACACAGAATAAAGGGAAAAAAAGAAAAAAAAAGGAAATAAAGTAAAAACTATATAAAAATAATGTGAAATTAAAATAAACTTACATATAAAACAGCAATCAGCTACACAAGGTCTCCGATCAACATGCCGGAGGATAACAGAATTAAATAAAATAAAAAACTTCTTTTTTAAATGCAGCTGCTGAAGCTGTAAATAAATTGTATCTTAAATCACCAATCTTTAAATTACCAGCATCACCATGGCCGTACGGCAACTTCATATTATGTATCAACTGAGCTATTTTGTTCGTAAAAAATGAATTGCTGTAGCTCCGGTTTCTTCTTTAATAAAGAGATGATGAGTTTTTCCCTTTTTTTTAAAGATCGCAGCCGGCAAATGCATGTGCAAAAAGCAAAAATGATTTTAAATCTTGGTTACTCTGCGTTGAATACAGAATGCATTGCATTTCTGTCTTTTACGAACAAAATAGCTCAGTTTGATACAAAATATGAAGTTGACGAAAGAATAAAATTACCTGTAGACTATGTAATAACGCGTGATAATTTGCGGGGTGAGGGGGTGTTAAGCCCCGCCTACTTAACTATTTTACATCTACCGATAAATAGTAAAACTAATCCCATTGTTCCATATCAATGTTGCAATGTAGTTTAGCTATCTTGATGACAGATGGCGGCCTATTCACAAAATGATTATAAAAATATTATTTTGGTGATTAAAAATTCTTTAGCACTAAATGCAAAACAATTATCAGCATCTTCGTATAATTATTTTACCAATACTGAGCTCTATGTACCTTTATATTTTTAGTTCCCATAATACAAAATGTCGCTAGTGTCGATTAAATTTACTTATATTTGAAATCCGATGCAAAGAGATTTTTCGAGAACTATTTCAATAAATTAGATATAAAATTACTTACAGGTGAAATGTGATGCCATCCATAACATCAGAATAGTTTTTACGCGATAAAACACAACACTTTATCCTTTTCTTCTTAATACTACGAAAATACACCGATTTGCGTATTTCGACACATAAGTGCACAGGACGAATGGTGACAGTATACTAACTAAAGCCTAACTGTGATGACGTCAGGACCTAGTTGGAATCACAGTGCACAGTTGCTTAGGCCGTCTCCTTTTTGTATTTGCTCTGTGGTCTCACCTCTCAACACAAGCAAGCATAAAACTGTTGCAATCAGGTGGTAGGAACTTTCATACGCCGTTAAATCCACAATAATATTTTAAACTCTTCGGCAAATATATCGAAGCTCCTTAATTCCCAAGGATTTGGAAAATCAAAATTTTCTAATCCCAAATAATTCAGTGACTTGAACATACAATTTTCTTCTGCTTTGCACCTGCATTATTTCGCCAGTTACGACGAAATCGGATTACGAGAAAATCCTAGTGTCCCTTTATATAAAAAAGATATGTATGACAGAAAAGTAAAAATAATAAAAAAAAACAGCAAAAAAGGCATTGAGGAGACACAAACATATCCAAAATAATAAAGCACAGCATTTTTAATATATTTCTTTAAATTTTATTATGATTAATAATTTTTTATCTTTCTTTGGTTTAATGTCCTGGCCAACCTTACTCCATTGAGGAATTTAAGTAAAAAAAAAAGTTAATTTTAATATTTATTGGGTTTTTACACTTATCAATATGCTAAGATTAATCAGTACTGTATACTTCTCTTAGTTTGAATATCATCTAGCAAAATTCTAAGCTCTTCATCTTCAAACCTTCCTTCAAGGGATGGAATTAATGCTTTTGCTTCTTCAGGTGTTTCTGGACATAGGTTTGCTAGACTTGCTACTTCAAATTTATGCAACTTTTTGGACTGGAGCAAACTGAAAGTGGAAAATAACTTTGTTATTTTAGTATCACATTAAAATTTCTCCCTGTGTTAAATAAATATAATATAAATTAAACATTTTAAAAACCTCTGAAAGAAAAAGTGCTAATGATCTTCAAATGGCTGAACAAATTTTCTTTAAACATCTAAAAACACTCTCATTTCAGACACTTTTTAAATAAAAAAAAATCTTAATCGTAATGGGTTCATCCATTTAGCAGCTATGAAGCCACAGATACACATTACAAACATATAACACTCCTTGTTTTAGTCAGGGGTTAATAAAAGAGAAATAGGGTATTTTAAAAATACAACTATTGTATAGTTGGGGGATGAGTCGCTCGCGTCCGTAGGCTTCGACCACCTAATCCTAGGCCCACCCTACACGTGTCCCCCGGGTGGTGCTAAACGAGCGACAAAGCCGAAACGACAGCCTCGGCTCCTCGCCGTATGGTAGCGGCATAAAATCTACCACCCCTTAGTTCGCACCATGAGCCAAGAAGGAAAAGAAATGGCACCGAGTTCCCGGCGCCCCTTTAATGGGGCAGGGATGCGAAGAATCTCCGGGAGAAAAACCGGCGACGAGGTTCGCCACCCGTCACGTCCTGTCTCCCGGGGGGGCGAAAAGTGGATTGCGGAGGCCCGTCTGGCCACGCTGAATGTATGTGGAGCAATGAATGATAAGATGGATGAAGTATGCGAAATGATGAATGATAGAGGAATAGATGTGTTATGTGTAAACGAGACGAAACGAAAGGGAAGAGATGTCACTGCACATGGCATGTATACCGCTTACTGGTCTGGAGTAGACGAGACCGAGCGGGCATGCCAGGGAGTCGGTGTCATCTTTTCAGAAAGAATGGGTCAATGTGTGAAAGAGTATGAATGTGTTAGCCCAAGGCTGCTGTGGATACGAATGAAAGTGGGCTTAAAGAAGTTGTTTGTGCTAGGGGTGTACGCCCCAGATATGTCTAAGCCCACTTATATCCGAGAGCAGTTTTGGGACATGGTAAGGCTGGTGTTGATGAAATGTAAGGAAAATGAAAATATTATTATGTTAGGAGATTTTAATGGAAGGGTTGGGGTGAGGAGGTCTGGTTATGAAAGGATATTAGGAACGTTTGGCGATGAAAGAATAAATGAGAATGGTGAAGACCTCCTCACCGTATGTGTGGTAAAGAATCTTTTTGTGGCGAACACTTTCTTTCGCCATAAGAGGATTCACATGTATACATGGGAAAGAGGGGATGATAGAAGCATGATAGATTTTATAATTGTGGATGAAAGAATGAGGAGCGCAGTGGTAGATACAAGGGTTTACCGGGGGTCCAACGTAGGGACGGATCATTACTTGGTCTTATGCCGAATTAATGGTCTATTCAGACGTTGGCGGCATCGGACATCGGTGTCTACCACTGCGTTACAGCGTATAAGAATAGAGAGGTTACAAGATGAAGGTGTGAAAGAGAAGTATAAATACAGATTGAGGGAAAATATAAGTGGGTTGAATGAATTATGTATGAATGATTTAGAATTGAAGAATGTATGGAATAATATTAAGAAAGTTTTGGTGGATGCAGCCACCGAAGTATGCGGTGTAAATAAGAGAACGAATGAAAGGAAAAGTAATACTTTGTGGTGGGATGATGAGGTACGGATGGAAGTTGAAGCAAAGAAGAGAGCATGGCTAGATTTACTAGCAACTAAAGCTGGTAATTCTGGCGGTATGAATGATGAGATTGAAAGAAAAAAGGCAGACTTTAGACGTATAAATAAGAGAGTAAAAGAAGTTGTTGAAAGGAAAAAGCAAGAAAGGATAGATAAGAATGATAGAAGGATATCTGATAACTTCCAGGCAAATATTAAAATGTTCTGGAAGCTCGTAAGAACTGCCAGGGGAAATTCAAAACAGCCTAGAATAAATGCTATACGAGACGAGAATGGCTGCATGCTGAATGATGAAGTTTCGAATTTAAAGAGATGGAAGGAATACTTTGAAAGCGTGTTTAAGAGTGAAGAGTCGTCTGAAATAAGTGAAATAGAAATTCCGGAAGAAGTGGAGAGAGGTAGGGAGATAAGTGTAGATGAAATAATGAAAGCAATGAAAAGCATGAAAGCAGGTAAGGCAGCCGGATATGATAGAGTATCACTCGAAATGCTAAGGGCTGGTGAGGGTGTGGTTACGGGCCTGCTGCACACCTTGTTTAATTTATGTTGGGAACTGAAACGGGTACCGGAAGACTGGTGCAAAGCCGTTATAGTCCCAATATATAAGGGAAAGGGGTCGCAGCAGGATTGTAAAAACTACCGTGGTGTCAGCTTGCTTAGCATTGTGGGTAAACTGTATGCTAAGGTGTTAATTGAAAGAGTTATGGAAGAAACTGATGGAAAAATTTGGGATGTGCAAGCTGGATTTAGAAAGGGGATGGGGTGTACGGATCAAGTCTTTTCCATGCGCATGATAGCGGAGAAGTTTTTGGCTAAAAACCAGAAAGTTTTTTGTGCGTTCATGGACTTGGAAAAGGCTTATGACAGAGTGGACAGGAATGTGTTATGGCAAACACTGAACTCATTTGGGTTGAGCGCTGGCTTGATACAAGCATTAAGATCTCTTTATAGGGACTCTAGTGCTTGTGTCAGGATCAACGGGGCCTACTCGGACTGGTTTAGCATTCATAAAGGTGTCAGACAGGGATGTGTGGCTTTCCCGTGGCTGTTTAACTTATTTATGGACAGTTGTTTGCAAACTTTGAAAGTTGAAGAATGTGGGTTGAGAATGGGAGAGTCAACCGTCAAATGCCTTTTGTACGCCGATGATCAAGTCATATTTGCATCGTCGGCGGCCGAGTTGCAAATGATGGTTACTTTAATGAATTGGTCATTGAAAGAAAGGGGTATGAAAGTGAACGCAAGTAAGACGAAAGTGATGGTTTTTGAAAGAGAAGAAAGTAAAACTTTATGTGAAATAAGAATAGAAGGGGAGTTGATTGAGCAAGTGGATGAGTTTGTATATTTGGGATGTTTATTTAGCAGGGATGGTAGATATGATAAGGATATAGAACGACGAGTGAATGCAGGAAATAGAGTGAATGGGGCTCTACACGCTATTATGAGGAGTCAGAATGTGTCAACTAAGGCACGTATGGCAATTCATAATGCTGTGTTAGTCCCTACTTTAATGTATGGTAGTGAAAGTTAGGTCTGGCAGAAGAAGCATGAGAGTAGAATAAATGCTGTAGAAATGCGTTCCTTAAGGAGTATGCTAGGGCTGAATCTGAATGACAGGGTGAGAAATGGTGTGATAAGAGAAAAGTGTGGTTTGCAAGATGACGTTGTGACAAGGATTAAGAAAGGAATGCTTCGGTGATTTGGTCATGTAGAAAGAATGAACGAGGAAAGAGTGACAAAGCAAATTTATGTTGCGGAAGTGAACGGCAGGGTCGGGAAGGGACGCCCTAGACGAAGGTTTATCGACCAAATCGGCGATACATTAAAAATGGGCCAGATTAGGAGTACCCATAACCGACGAGCGTGTATGCGTAGATATATGGATGTAAAAGAGGCGAGAGAGGTGTGTCAGGATCGCGCCAAATGGAAGTCCATAGTCTCTGCCTACCCCTCTGGGTGACAGGCGTGAGTGTTTATGTAACTATTGTCAGCATATAAATAAAGAATAGTTATCTGTTGTTGTTAAAAAGTGACCTCTAACAGGAGTTATCCCTAATTGGGATTTCTAAGTTTGGTTTGAATAAATGCCATACTAGAGTTATTGGAATTCACAATATGAATCATATTGTACTTGATGAGAGATCAATACGTAGGCCCAGATGAATATGAATCCATAGATCATCAGATTATTGATGGATCTTACCACAATTTGCATACAGATCTAACAGTACTGGCTGAAATTACTGGACGTTGGTACACGGAGTGGCAGTGCAATTTGGAACTGAATCAAAGACTGATGATGGTTGTAGTGTGATAGAATGGGACACATCTAGTACTTATTAATATTAAGGCAAATTTGTGTTATACGATTTTTAATAAATAAATTATCAATAAGGCTTAGCTTTCCATTGACTTCCGAGTTGGGTGTTGATACGTATTTTTACAGAAAAGTTACACTATTATAAGCACACACACAAAGTTTCAATATGCGGAAACGCGTACTTTTTGAGAAAAAGTTTATTATTTAAGAGAAAATTAATTATTATTGTAATGTTTATGTTACATTCCTAGCGTAAAACTGGCGCCATTTTGTAATGTCATTGTCGTCGTCAGTACGGATGTCGATTGTTTCCGAAAAAGATAGATTTTTAAATCGATTCGAATCGTAAGTTCTTAATTTGTTGGATTTATGAGCCTGTTAGTTTAAGCAATTTTATTTAAAATGTTTGTTTCTCAATCTTGGCATGCCGTGATAACACGTATAAGGATTATGTCTTGTATTACACTAATATTATTGTAAGTTATAGCTTTAAGTCATGATGTAATCTGTTGTGTTGTCCAATAATAAATAAATAAAAAAAAAAAAAAGTAAGCTGTTGTGAATTCACAAAAAATGGATTTCTAAAATATAGATATATTTTGCTGTTTGCATTTATAACATACCATAATAAATGATTTCTTATGGAAAAAAAAGAAAGATAATACAATAAATGATCTCTTATCAGTAAAATCAGTTTTAATGGTTTGGTTCTACTTATGTCAAAGAACCAAATTTATTGACCCCGACTTCACGTGGTACGAGTCTGTCCTATCCCTAGAGTGGTTATATAGAACCGCAGGCACGTAGGGGGAGCAGCCTACGCCTGCTGTAACAAATCGTAGTAAAAATCATAGTACTGCGATTTGTTACACAAAGGCGTAGAGGCTGCTCTTCCCGCAGCCCTCAAAATAGATACAGAAATCCCTCTGAATTAGTCACCCTAAAAATGTAACCTTTCTGTAAAAATATGTATCAACACCAAACTCTATGGCAGTCAATGGAAAGTCATACCAAATCTACCTAAAAAAAATAATTACTTGATCTTAAACTACACTTTCCCTTAAAAAGTTTTGGTAATTAAATCCCAGTGTTTTATATCCTTTAATAGAATTGTGATCCCACACTTGGCTAGTTAAACAATAGTTTCACTCAACAGCTTGGGTCATGATCAGATAGCTGAACCCCTAATGGCACTGATCCAGTGGGTAGTAGAACCTAGATGCAGATCTTTAGAGCTGAATGTACATCCAGACCTGATCCCGAATCATCATCATATTTACCCATCTCTTATATTGTGCATGTTAATAAAGGTAATAAAAAGGTTTTTTTTTATAGGATAGGGTGACAAACGAGCACACGGTCCACCTGATGGTAAGTGGTTACTGTGACCCATAGACATCTACATCTATCCTCAATAAAGACTCAAGATGCAGATGTGTTGTCACCCGTGAGGACTAAGATCGAATGCCTCTTTGCCAGTAAAAAGGGTCTCTGGTTCTCTACACTCACCATACGAAACACAGCAGTATTAAGCTGCTATTTTACGCTAGTTTTCTGTGAGAGCGTGGTCCTTCCCCGGTCGAGCCGAACCCATTCCTGCTACAACTATACTAATAATATAGCTGCAGCATGGCTCTACCACGTACAAAAAAGGTTAAAAAAGTTATGACGAAAACAAAAGACAACTAATAAATAAGTACTTATGTATCTACATATTTATATACATTATTTGAATGAAAAGGCATTATGAAGACATACTTTCTTACAGCAGCTATTGTTTCCTTATTTTTGAATTTTTTAAACATATTGGTATAAGTTAAAGTCTTCATAAAAACTTCAGAAAATTCTTGTTCCTCTTCTGCAGACTCATTTTGTGCTTTTCTGTGTTCGAGTAACATATCCACTTCAGATATTAGTAATGTTTCAGCATTTTCAAATTCTGAAAAATACAGAATACAGAATGAGCTTGAATAAAATGTATTTGTTTATCTTAAATAAATGTATTGTAAAGCAATATGCATGTTGCGCTCATTATTTAAGAATAACCTTTTGGAAACTGCAGATCCGCTGCATCTTCTTCCACAACATCTTGAATAGGACCAGCCATCAGATTTTTAAATATATAATTTGAATATAATATGAGTGTTTTTATTAAAGCAAGCAATAAATAAAATGTGTATATCAAAACAGTAAACTAGGAACCACCAGAAATAAAATTAAGATACGTTGAAGTTGGATTGTTGTTATTGTGATTTTCTATTAAGACTTGGTTTGGATGCTTGGCCTCTAATCTATTATCAGTGTTGCCATCGTAAAAATCTGAGCTGCCGTATGCCAGAGTCTGGTTTGCAGTATCTAAGGGAAAAAAATTACTAAATTGCGGTATTTTTAATTATTTATTTTTAAAATGTCTTTTATTTGTTTTCTAGTTGATTCCTTATTTTTTTCTTCGCAGTAAATGTTTCTTATCATGTCTAACACTTCAGTTTCATGTTTCCCTAGTGGGTATTTGTCCTTGCTTTTCATTTTTTTACAAACTAGTTACTCTAAATATTATTTTTTTATATTTTTTTTTTGGTTTACATTATTTATTGTGCCTTTTAGATGAATAATAAATGTAAATGGTAAAAAATTTTCTTTTTAAATAATCAAACAGAAATCACTAACATGATATATACTATCTTGCATGCGTTACATTGAACAAAGAGAGTATCTATCATACCTAGAGCAGTTGTATGAAGCTTTTGTCTCTTTACTCGTGTGGTACATAGGTATGTTTTGTTTCATTCATTACACTAGTGAAAAAACGTTTCGTTTCACCTTATGGCCAATTGCCGTATTTTGTATTCCGTAGTTTGATATGGCAATGAGAGGCCTGACTTCTGAAAAAAAAAGTCGTATAATACATAGACTTTGTATCTTATAGACTAAACATTCCGTGACGTCATCAGCGTGTGAAAGGAATGCACGTATATAATTAGACATAAGAGTAAGGGAGAAGCAAATCTATATTTCTTGTCTTTTTCTAGGTATGCGTTTTTGATTGTTTTCCCTCCTTTATTTGACATTAACGATGTCAAGCTCTTGTGAATAATATTGATATTATAAGCAAACAGGTAATTGAATTTAGTGTTGTTTGTGGGTTTTAGTTATTAGGTAAGGTTAAAAAGATGGTAAGTTGTAGCATTTTAGGATGCAACAGCATCAGTCAACGAAAAATTGATAATATTACCTTTCATCAGTAAGTTTGTTTTGTGCTTACATTTGCTACTTGTACTGATTAATATCTATTGTTTTGAATATAAAGTGTAACATTTCATGTGTTTAATGAACTTTGTGATGCATTTTGTCAAATATTTGAACTCCCAAATTGTAAATTCTTCATGATAATGCTCTTAATTTGAACGGTCATTCGAAAGTTTAAAGTCATAACAAACGTGTACTTTTTGATTTGGTAGGATTATAGAAACTTTAGGGATATCAGCGAGTACAATAATGTTTTCGCATTGTTCAATAATAATGGTTATTGTGATTAGTAGTTATGTCCATAAATATGAATCACATAATGTTATACATATACATACACTTTTATGTTCAGCTTTAAAGGAAACTCCTTATTGCCCTACAACTCTTCAATCATTTTCCATATTACATAGACGTCACAAATAATATTATGTAAGTATCAACCTGAAAACATGTTTGGATTCAAGTACATAAACATTGGGCAAAGTATATTTAATTTCACAAAATATGTATTGCCTGAAATCAGATGAACAAAACTTTATTGCATTCCATTAATTCTATTATACATTAGCAACAATTACATTACAATATTTATTAAAAAATAAATAAATATGTCATACTAATATAAAAATAAATATAAACATTGATAAAATAATAAATAAATAAATAAGTCTTAATCTTAAGGTACACAATAACACAACGACATAAGACAATATTCTCAATTAATGATGTAGAAAAAATTTGATGATAATATACTTACCGTTACCATTAGTCAGTATCAAAAGTCAAAGTTATAGTTTTTGTGATAGTTGCCTAGCTTGGCAGGAGAATTGGCAACTGCAGTTATTTGGAGACAAACTGTGTGGGAGGCCTATGTTCAGCTGTGGAGGACATAACTATGTTAGGCTGTAAATGTATTAATTAACAATACCTAAAGCTTAATATGTACATAATTTTTTTAAATGTTTGGTATGAGTAATATTATCATTACATTTATATATACTTGCTATTTAATTAAATCAATTGATATTGTATTAATTGTTATAGGTATTGTATTTATGCACAGATACCCATACTTGATTTTTTTTTTGTTAAATGCCTTGATATAAAAGTGTACTATATATTTAATATATTAATTTCTTTTAAATATATTATTTCACAGCTTTTCTAAGGAATCAGCTATCCGTAACTGTTGGATATTCGCTACTGGTAGTAATTATAGGTAACCAACAAAACTTAGCAGTATATGCTATAAAACATTATGAGCCTCATTGTTTTAGGTGGACTAAATATACTTAACTTATGTAATTTATAATATAATTAAGATATTTTTTTTAAATGTTATAATTTCTTGTTGTATCTTGTTGTTTCTCCATAAGTGATATAAGTTTGACCTTGTTAGTTGTTATGATTTTTGACATTGTTCTGTATGTATTAAAAATTGACTAGCATTGCTTATTTTATTTTCAAATGCTGACATTCTGTACTTTTTTTTATAGGACAGGGTGACAAACGAGCACACAGTCCACCTGATGGTAAGTGGTTGCTGTGGCCCATAGACATCTACATTTATCCTCGTTTGCGAATCAAAATATAGATGCGTTGTCACCCGTGAGGACTAGGATGGAATGCCTCATTTCCAGTAAAATGGGCCTCCGGCCACCTGCACTCACCAAGCGAAACGCAGAGGTAAACCTCTACTTCACGCTGGTATTCTGTGAGGTCGTGGTACCACCCCGGTTCGAGCCGGCCCGTCCGTGCGACAGCAAAAGCTGCCGCTTGGCTCTACCACTGTTACAACTTACACTGTCTGTATTATTAAGAGTTGTAATAATTTGGTTGCATGACAATGACATAATATTTACTTATAGATGGATTGATTAAACATGAGTCCTCATCTACAAATGTTGGAACTTTATCTGTACTACCATGTTTTATGCAAATAAAGATTTAAATAAAAGAAATAAATAAATAATTTAAAGTCCTGACCTAAATATACAAATGAATAATTTATTATGCAATAATAATTGTAAAACCAATGGGACATTTAGTCCACCCTTAATCCCTTTTATAAAGGTTTTATAAACAATAATGTGTAAATAAATTAAGAAATAAATGTAATAATTATGATAATTTCTATTTAATTGTCATAAATAATGTAATAAAGATCTTTTTCACAAGAGATAAGTATTACCTATCTAAGTATAATTTAGGAGTTGTACCTTATTATTTATACCATTAAAATGTATTATATATATATATATATATATATATATATATATATATATATATATTATATATATATACCCTTCTAATCCGATTCTAACAACCAGCACCCAAGAATATCTGCCATGTAAAGTATAAATCAAGTTTACAAATGCATATTTTTGAGAAATTCTAAAGCTACTCAAACCAAGAATTACAGGGAATGCTCTAGAAAGAAGACAAAAATTTTGTTAAATTTGTTTATTAATGTGATGAAAAATTTATAAATAATCGTATGTTTATTTTAATGTTATTGAATTATATTTAATATATGTGTTTTAATTTGTTTTATTTAATGTAACATTGTTAATATTTCTTAATGTTGTGTAAGTACACAAAATTTAGTTCTTTTTCCTTTTTATATTTCTATATACATTCATTTGAATAGAATATATATCTTTACAGTCTATCAAAAGTCTACTGTTGAACATAAACATGATTATAGTTATTTGACTTAGTTTCAACGCTTGGAAAGCGGGTTGTCAACCACTGTTTTTTTTTATTTAGCTGTTATCAGGAAGATGCTGCTGTTTATCTTCTTTGATGTTTCCCTATGTCGCCTCATACACCACCCATGGAATGATATGAGGTAGCAGATAATCTTACACTGCATGGTAAATTAAAATAGAATATTATAAAACATTCGTTTTTATTTTATATACTAACATATTACAAAAACAAACCCTTTGTTGATGCTTTACAACGTATATTAACTAAAACATTTTACCACCTTAACCATTAGGTAACATGATTAAGCTACCTAACCATAAGTAAGTCACCTAAAAAAGGCCTTCCCTAGATATACTCATAGGATGACTTTTACCATAGTTGCCACGCCTGCGTGAAAATATGCGTTATGCTGGTTGGCCACCGCAGTTATTTATTATTTTAAGTTTTCATCGGGAAAGTGCTGCTGCCCCATCCCCATCTTGTATTATTGCTTTCGACGCGGGGTAATATCATTCCGTATACAGACAAATTCTCTTGTACGCCACAACTTGCCGCACACAAGACACTAACTTAGCAAAACATGCAGGAAATCGAGGGAGTAGCCTTTTTACCGTGTTTTGTACTACAAAACCTAAGTGGACAGCCTTTCCTTTCGGGAGGTCTGTGTTCAGCACTGTACTTGTGATGGAATGGTATGTTAAAACATTATTGATTTTTTTTGTAAAAACAAAACTCGACACGAGGAAATTTTTGTTTATTATTTAATATTTTTATCCTTAATTAATATTTAAGTATATACATAACATATTGTTATTTATTAGCAATATCACACTTTGTGATAGTAGCGTCTTCACTTAGTGCCGTCGAAATCCAAAGAGTTTATTGAATGTCCAGTAAAATCGTCGTTTCGCCGTTGAATACAGAATGATGATTCTGTTTTTACGCCGTTTCCGCCCGTAGTTTTTAGTCACAGAATGTATTTTCAAGAGAAATGAATTAATCGCCTGAATTATAAAAGAACATTTTTTATGGTAACAATTAAGTTTTTTGTATGAATGTAAGTACTGTGAATATAAATAAACCCATAACGGGGGAAATGGAACAATATCTGGTAACCCAGTGAAAGTACCTCGCGCCTATTTCTATCTC